AAAACATCAACTACTTTAATCTGTTCGATACAATCATCATTCAGCCTCTAAGATTTTTTTCTTTCTTATTAAACATTTGTTATACAAAATTAAAGCTATTGCTTAGTTATATATAAATTTCAAAAACTGAAATACATTTAAATGCAGATACTTTATAATCCCTATTGCTAAATTCCCACTATATCCTCCACAAAATAAATTTTCCAAAGCATGAGCTTAAATTGCTTACATGAAATTTATTACACGTTTAATTTACAAAGACCACATTTTTAACACTTTATAAGCGCATTTTTCCATCGGCAAATAAACAGAGTATGGACTGAAAGAATGTTGTCGGCCAAGAAACTACAACCCACATCAAACACACAATTTGCAAGTGGAACGACAAAAATGGTAACACAATGCTAAAAAAATAAAAAATAAAACTAAAATTCTCTGTTTGCTGCACCGAAAGTGAAATGCTCTTGTAAAAATACATTTAGTCTTTTCCAGTCTCTCTTTTTCTTTACATTATTTCTATTGAATATTTTTTATTATTCCCTCCAAGTATTTAATGCTTAGCTAAACGATCACAGACATCAATCCAATTCAACTGACCACCAGGCTTGGGCCCTATATAGAGCGACTTTAACTCAAAGGCTAAGTAGCGCTCAAATATTTAGACCGTAGGTCCAGCTTAAAGCGAGTAAACGAGCAGAGACCAGTAAACATTCCAGCTTCGTTTTACTCAAGTATGAATATCAAATTCAATGAAATGAAAATGAAATATAAATGATCTTGTTAGACATGCAGACACAGAGACTGCCTGGGAGATATACAGAGACAGATATACATACGAAAAGATACATTTATAGACAAAAAGACACGCATAGTTTTATTGCTTGGTAAGAGAGTTTTCTTACTTATTTTTCTCAATCATTTCTTCGATGGAGAATATTAAGTCAATAAACTTTATATAACATTTACTTATACATCTTCGACTTTTTTGCGTTACATATTGCATGACTTAGTTATAATATCCTTAATACAGGCAAAGCTTGGATAACAACAAAACATAATAAGCTCTGAAGAGGACTATTCACAATATCCAGAGTGTGTTATAAATCAAATAAGTATTGGCCGCAGCACGTGCCCAGATAACTAAGCATAATGCGAGATATACAAATGTGCGAAAAATAGCTGGAGAGACGGCAGCCACGCCCATTTTGCAGCAATAAGAAACAGCTGGCGGCACATTAAACTCAATGAGTTGAAATTATTTTCAGGCGAAGGTCAACGTATTCCCAGCTAATGCGGTAGGTTAGTGGTGGGCGGCGGACGATTGCCGCTGGGTGAAGGGCGAACGAAGATGGGCGATGGGCGTTGGGCGTTGGGCGTTGGGTGGTGGACAGTTGAGACTACCGGGCGTGGCATTTGGGCGTTGCTATAAAAGACAGCTTCCGCAAACAATAAATTTAGCCCGCCAAATGAGAAAAAGTGGGTCCCAGGGCAACTCGTTGCCAGCCAAGTCGAAAGCATGCAAAGATTCTGGCAAAGCAGAGGCACGGCCGAAATACTTTTAAAACGTAAGCTGGACATTTACGTAATATCTATTATATTTCATACCCATATACGTATATATAAATATGCTGTTGTCGTATGTATGTACATAGTTGGCAGTTTGCTATGGGTAGCCTTATTAAGCTGTAATGTATTCAACGTGAGACACCATTCCACTCCATTTGAGGCTAAGAGTATGCTCAGTTTTTGTAGGCTGCCAGAATTTATAAGGGCAACATCATCTGCCACAGAAGCCCAACGGCTAGACGAGTGCTTAGATTTAACAAGACAGCAATAGAAAAAAAATGAGAAAAAGAAGACCGAAAACAGCTTCAAGCACTCAAGTTTACATAACAACGCAAATTGAAGGTATTTCGAGGAAAAGCTGTAGGCGAGAATTTCAATTTCGAAGAGACGCCTATTGGAAAATCAACTAAAGAAGCTATTAAAATTGCTCCCACACCTGCAATTCAGTTTATAGTCTGGCAAATTTATAGTCTTGCAAAGAAAATTCCAGGAATTTAATCGCCTTGTGAGCACTCTCCTTATTTTGATAATAAGCTGCTCAAGATAAACTCAGGCAAAAATAAAATATTGAAGATATAAAACTATTTTGATTTTCCTCTGATTAATATTTATATGCATTTATCTCAAGAGTCTCTGCTTTTTCTATCATGTTCCCTTTGGGGTTACACCAATTATTTTGCTGTGTTTTCGTCGACAACAGCCTCTTTCGGGTGATTCACTATATCGTAGCCGATGCCCATTTATAATTATATTCATTGCATTTAATTATGTTGGATAAAAACACTTAAAGTTACATTTTCTCTAAACTAAAAGAGCTGTGAATGCTTTTTTTATTTATTAGTTTTTTATCAACTTTCAAACAATATTTTTTAGACATAAAGTAATACTTTTTATTAATACATGAACCTTCTTTTGAAACATTCTTCAATTGATATGTTATTACTTTCATGCATTTATTATATGTTAGTTTTAGTGATGTTTGCAATTACATGATTTCTTAAGGTCATTAAATATGGCCAGAACTATTACAATTAAGCACACACAGAACCCTCGACTTTTGCATAGAAAATAATTTATTCATTCAGTTCGCGTTGTGCTTTGCAGACTTGATGATGCAGTCGCTGGTGTCAGTTTTTTTGCTTTTGACAGTGACTACGCTCACAGGAGAGCGATTCGGCAGCAAAAGTGAGATGGTTACATACAAAAAGGTCACAGAGTGCATTGATAAACTGCACGTAGATAACGCGAATCTGACCTTGGTTGTGGAGTGCCTGACGAAGTTTGGCAATCAGACGGCTTACTTTGAGCACACGCTGTGGAAGGTAGAGTTGCTGCAGCGACGTGTGCAGGGTCTGACAAACATTATATCGCAGACTAAGACTGTATATGTACCGTCGCCCTATGAGAACATCGACGATGTGCTGAAAATCGAGGGAAGCGTTGCTAGCTACAGCTGCCCGCAGAAGCTGTTTGTGGTGCAGGCCATACGCAGAAAGCTGGAGCAAGTGTATATGATGAACGGCATCCAGAGCACACTGTTCAAGTGGCCCTACAAACGAAAGAGACCAGAGAAAGACATTAAACAGGTGCAAAAATCTAGACTCGACGATGGGGCCAATACTAAAAGTGCAGACTATTCGGAGTTGACCTGCCTCATACTTCTGGCGATCGGTAACAAGTCGAGGGAAGCGCCTTAGCATTGTGATTGAATATACTTATTGATTGAATACGAGAAAAACACCTCATTTGCCTCGTTAATTACAACCAATTATGCTGCGATTCAAGTGCGTAATCAACGTTTGGTCACACGCGCCGTATGAGTGCTGGCTCTGATTTACGCGCGGCCACAGCAGGCATCAGCTGGTGCAGCTCTAAGACAAAGCAGCCCAACTGCATGTAAATGTGGGCTAGAAGCGGCGACTGGTCGAATCAGGGAGTTGGCGGGGAGCTGCTTTAAGTAATTGCTTAGGAGTTGCGCAACATGCGGCCCAGCAATAAAAATAATAACACTATAATAATAACAGTAATGCTGCACGCAGCACGCCGCATTCGCAGAAGCAGTCGCAGAGCCCTGCGATGTGTGGCCCTGGCTGGCACGTATCTATTCAGCCCCGGGCACTTGGCACAGACTGCGCTCAAGTTTTTTTTTCTGCACTTGCCTTGTTTATTTTAATGTGCCATATAAAATAATTAAATGGACGCGCATGCAACAAGCGCACAGCGCGATAAGAGATAAACAGTTGCCAGCCGAGCGTACGGCTATCGGGAAACTTGCATGTAATTAGCATAGCGGGCCACATTAAATGCCGTTACTGGCACATTGTCTGGCGCACAGAGTAAGCTCTGACCAGTGGCTCCCACTAATTGGCATCAGGCCATGAAAAGTCACAAACACACAAGAAATGAAGTCGAAATGCATGCTCTGATATTATATGCAAACTGAATCGAACAAATTGGTTTTTAGCAAATTCAAATATATGGGAAACGCTAGTTAATTTAGACTCACTTTAGTTTATAACATACCTATATTATTACCGATAACGGGCAAAAACTCCAATTTCTGATCGGTATAGATTTCTATTCAGAAACTCCTAGTCTATTATATATTAATATAGCAGTAGTATAGGTGCAGGATTAATATATTTGTATAATATATAATGTATAAATAGTACAGTAAAAGTAGTAATATAGTACTAGTAGACGTACAATAATATAAGTAGAATAGTAATAGTAGTAGAATAGTAATAGTAGTAGCTCAGTAATAGTAGTAGTATAGTAATAGTAGTCGCACAGTAATATTAGTAGGATAGTAATAGTAATAGTATAGTAATAGTAGTCGTACAATAATATTAGTAGAATAGTAATAGTAGTAGTACAGTAACAGTAGTAGTACAGTAACAGTAGTAGTATAGTAATAGTAGTAGTACAATAATAGTAGTATTACAGTAACAGTAGTAGTATAGTAATAGTAGTAGTACAATAATAGTAGTAGTATAGTAATAGTAGTAATACTGTAATCGTAGTTGTATAATAATGTTACTAATTAAGGTATAATTTTATAATTATATGCTATACGGAGAACATGGAGATAAGTGGTATGATTGCAGGAAAGTTTTAAGAGAATTTTGTACATATAATAATTATAAGTATGTACATCAAGGCAATATATGTATATTTAAAATGGTTCCCACAAGTCGAACAGCCAAATGAACTTTGCCTATCGACCTTAGTGATTTTTCACTGGGCCTTGTATTTAAATCATCGAAATAAGTTGCATAAATTACAGACACTTCAGAGTTATTGAGTACACTGGAAGGATTGAATTGTAGCTGGAATTATAAACTCTGACTAGCTGAATGATACATACTGACAAACATATCGTCTACATTGTAGCATAAATTAACTAGTTATGTAATGCTACAAATCCGCAGGCAAGAAATGGAGATCCTGAATTTATTAGCAGCTAATTTATAATAGAACTTATACTGAGTCTCAAATATTTTGTGAGCCTTGGTCCAATTTCATCTTTAACTTTCTTGTTTTTGTGCTCTGCTGTCGCGTGCGTCATTTTCTGCCGTTTCTTTTGCACACGCCCCATTTGGGCCGCTCCCGACTCGGCAAGTCGGCTGCAATGTCAATAAAAATTCAATTACGGTTCGCACAAAACTTGTCTGGCATGCCTTTCTTATAGCCATTTAGATATTGGCTATCGGCCGTGCAGACGCACAACGATTCGAGGCTTCAACGTTGTTGTCTTCGCTGAGTGGCATTGCGAAATTTGTTTGACATTTGAATAGCAGCTTCAATTGAATTCGGACAACAAAAGCGCCTTGAAATTCCATGCGATGGAATCAAAAGTCTTGCATTTAGCATCTCGGAACTGGAATGAGATCTGGGATCTGGGATCTGTAATCTGTAATCTGAGGCAGGGCACTTAAATTTGATGGCGTGTTTATGTAACCCAACGCCCCCAGCAAACAGTAGATAATCATAATCGTAATCATAATTTGTGCTAAATTGATCTTCAGCTCGAGCTCGGCCCTCCCAATTCACTATTGCATGTGCCGTTGAAATGCTTTCAATAAAAATAGATTGTGCGCATTCGTAATTTGCTTAAAGTGATTTGGTTTTGGCCACATATGCCAAAAGTGTTAAATAGCTGCTTGTCAAAGCGAATTCGTGTTAAGGTCATTGTGCGTGTTATGACCAAAATTCCAATTTCTCTCTCTCACTCTCCCCATCTCTCTCTCTCTCTCTCTGTCCCTCTCTATTTCATTCCCACTATCGCTCTCCCTCTCCCACATAGGCAGGTGTAATCAAGTCGTGTTAGTGCCACAGCCTCCAAAGCAAAGAGCATGGCATACGCTCTCCCAAGCAGCATACAAGTGTTATACAAGTGTTATACGCCCGCCTTGCTGTTGCTGCTGCATACTTACAGGCGCGCGTAGACTTCGGCTTCAGTCTCCCTTTGCCAGTGCTCTCGTTCACACACTGACAGCTCTCGCCAGTGCCGCCCGATACAAGTGCCGACGTGAGTGTCCCTCAGGAAGCGCGTAAACTTCTGTGCAAGAAAGCTCAGCATTCGCATTAATCAGGCACACATATTTTTGGGCCTGAACAGCATTTACGTTTGGCTTCATTAGTGGCTGCATAGCCCCGTCTCCTTCCCGCTCATTGGGCAACCTCTGTGGTTCGTTTCACTTGTGTGCGTATAAGCGTATGCGTGCGTGTGAGTGTGCGTGTGCGAGTGTGTGCGTGAGGTTAATGAGCCAAAAGTGTTTTATCGTGTTGTGTGTTAAATATTTAATACAATCTTGGATAAATGTTGCATAATATGTGTGTCGCTTGGCATTAGATAGCATCTACTTCATATTATCCGCAGCCTAAGAGCCTACAATTGACTCTAAGCCACAAGAAGCGAGTAAGTACCGTGCGTTTATTTGAGCTTTGAACATAAATTAATTTAGCCATGTATTAATGGCGTTAACTCTTCCATTTAATGGACTAATATCAAATTAGCGCCACTTGATATTTAATTAAAATTATTGTCCTTAATATTCAATAGATGGATGAGTAAATAAATTTATTTATTTAAATTTGACTAATATATTGAATTTCTATCGTTTTACTTTCTGCACTACAAGGAATTTTCGGGTATTTTCAATTTTATGGTTCTTAGAAAACATCAATTTTTCAATTAACAAGAATTTTTATCAACTCTGATTACAAATTGCCAGCATAAATGTTCAATTTTCTGCGAATTTATTTGCAATAAGAATGGGGCAGCCACAAAGCGTGATATCAACAAAAACATTCAAGCACACACACACAAACACACACAAAGACAAACTCCCACTCACATAAACACAGACCCAATTTCATCTGCTGTGCAGAGACTTTCAAATTAATTGTAGCCCAACATTTTGCTACTTGCCACAACTTACTCTAATACTAGTTCATTTGCCACGCCCCTGCCACACACACACACACACGCACGCACACACACCCTCGTAATGCGTAGCAGCATCCCAACTAAGTAAATAATGCGTAAAACAAGTCGAGCGTTTTACGGTAGTGTCCTTAGCCCCCTCTGCCCCGGTCTCCTCATCCTTTCGACACACTGCTCGACTCGCATAGGGAAACCGTCAATTGTAAAATTGTGGCTGGTAGCAAATCGAGGCAGGAGTTTCAGCTCGTGCTGGGCGTTATTTTCGTTGCCGCCCGTCGACTGTCGACTGTCGACTGTCGACTGCAGCTGATGAAGGCAAAAAGGATTGTCAGGCAGAGCCGAGGCGCGCGTGTGCCGGTGTAATTCATTATGCTGACTAACTAAGCGAGAGGTTGGACGCAGCTGCTGGAGCGGGAGTTAGAGCATTGTCAATGCTAGCAAAGCAGATGGGACAGAGCTTGCTACAAATACTTTTCATACACATAAACATTTGTGCACATGTGACGATGACTACAAACAAAAAAGAAACAAGTAAGAAAGCTCTAGTCGAGACTGCTCGACTACGAGATCCCCTGAACCCCACAAGGAACTGATATTTCAATAATAATTAGCACACACACACGCACACA